GGGCGCCCCACTAACCCCCTGTCTCCTCTCTCCCTCTCTCTCCTCTCTCTGCCTCTCCTCTCCCTCCTTCTCCAGTGGTCCAGGACGAACGTCAGCGCTGTGAGGAGCTCTGGGCCGGGGGGGGTGTGTGCGTGTGTGTGTGTGCGTGCGTGTGGCCAGGGACAGGAGCAGGTGCCAGCGCCGGCGTCGGCGGGGGTGGGCCAGTCCGATGGTACCCGGGCCGGGCCGGGCCGGTACTGGGTCAGTGCGTGTGTGTGTGTGTGTCTGTGGGTGAGTGCGTGGGTGAGGTGTTGTGTGACTGTAGTTTATACTAACTGGGAAACGTGTGTATCTGTCTGTGTGTCTGTCTCTCCTCCTTTCTCCTTCTCCTCTCTCCTCCTTTCTCCTTCTCCTCTCTCCCCTCCCCTCTAACTCTTTTCTCCTCTCCCCCCTGTCTCCTCTTTCCCCCCTGTCTCCTCTCCTCCTCTCTCCTCTTTCCCCTCTGTCTCCTCTCCTCCTCTCTCCCCTCCCCTCTAACTCTCCTTTCTCCTCCTCTCTCCCCTCCCCTCTAACTCTCCTTTCTCCCCCTCTCTTCTCCTATCTCTCTCCCCCCTGTCTCCTCTCCTCCTCTCTCCTCTTTCCCCTCTGTCTCGTCTCCTCCTCTCTCCTCTTTCCCCTCTGTCTCCTCTCTCTTCTCTTTCTCCCCCCTCTCTCCTCTCTCTCCCCCCTCTCTCCTCTCTCCTCTCCCGGCCCTGCAGCGGTGCAGGAGGAGCGCCAGAGGAACAGGGACCGGGACGGGGAGGTGGAGTCCACCAGCGCGGTGAACGAGGAGATGCCGGTGGAGAAGATCCTGGAGGCGGAGATGGCCGTGGAGCAGAAGACAGAGCTGCACTCCGACGGGAGCTCCGGGGCCAACTCTGTGAGTCTCTCTCTCTCTCCTCTCTCTCTGTGAGCCCTGTCTGTCTCTCTCTCTCCTCTCTCTCTGTGAGTTTTTCTGTCTCTCCTCTCTCCTCTCTGTGAGCCCTGTCTGTCTCTCCTCTCTCTCTGTGAGTTTTTCTGTCTCTCCTCTCTCCTCTCTGCGTGTCCTGTCTGTCTCTCTGTGTGTCCTGTCTGTCTCTCCTCTCTCTCTCTGTGAGTTTCTGTCTCTCCTCTCTCCTCTTTGTGAGTCCTGTCTGTCTCTCTCCTGTCTGTCTCTCTGCATGTCCTGTCTGTCTCTCTCTTTATTAGCATGACTGATGGGTACAATCAGTGTTGCCACAGCAAATAAAAATAATAAAATTAACATAGAACAAAACAAAAAAATAGAAGTAAAATAAAATCTACAGACATGATACAGACATTTACAACAGAGACGTTATAAATATAATAGTCCCTCTCCTCTCTCTCCTCTCTCCAGCCCAATGACCCAGTGACCAACATCTGCCAGGCTGCGGACAAGCAGCTGTTCACACTGGTGGAGTGGGCCAAGCGCATCCCACACTTCCACGAGCTGGCCCTGGACGACCAGGTCATCCTGCTGAGGGCGGGTGAGTGTCCGGCTGTCCGGCGTGTCTGCGCTGACCCCCGCCTCTCTC